TTCTTCCTCATATCTCTATAGATTTGAATGTTTTAGTTGCTTTGTATCAATATTTTCAGTAATAAATAACAAAATATAAAGTAAACTAGCTTAATAAGGGAAATTTCACAATTTAATGCAAGTGGGGAAAAAAATAGGCAAAACTTAATCCAGGAGCTTCAGCAGTTTTATCTCTTCTGCTCTCATGTTTGTTTCATTTTCACCAAGTTCCTCCATCATAATTACAAGATGACTACTCTCAGGTCCTGGAGCTGGATGTTTTTGAATATCACAAATAGGGAGAATCTGCTTCCTAGAGACCCTATATAAAACTTACACACTAATGAATCTGGCTGGCCCATTATAAAGCCAGATTTATGTATATTTGTATATATTTATTCATTTTGGGTATTGGGGATTGAACCATGGGGCTCTTAACCACTGAGTGACATCCCCAGCCCTTTTTATTTTTTATTTTGAGACAGGGCCTTGCTAAATTACTGCAACTGGCCTTGAACTTGTGATAATCCTGCTTTAGCCTCCTGAATTACTGGGATTACAGGTGTGTTCCACGGTGCCCAGTGGAATCAGATGTCAAACTGACATATTTTCTAATAGCATATGTAGTTACAAGTGATATGTATTTCTGAGAAGTACAGAACTTAGAAGTGGCTTCAGTAAGGAAAAGATATTAAACCTGAAACCTGAAGAGTGAATTAGTGCTTGCTGGGAGAAAAGGAAGTCAGGGTTATCTTTGCGAACAGTCATTAGGCCACTTAGGTAAGTTACAAAATGAAAAAAGGCCTGAGAAATCTGGAGCAGAGAATGTAGGAGAATGGTCAAGATCAAATCATGTTGATTTTTTTTTTTTAAATTATCCTTAGAATGTTGTGATATGAATGAATTTTAAGCTGGACAGAAGGTAGCATGATTTATTTTTAAAAGGTTACTGTGATTTCAGAGTAGATTGGGTGAGAGTGAGATTACTGTCACTTGAATTAGGGGACAGTTGAACACCACCAGACTGAGGTGGAGGAGCAAATTGTTGTTGTTTTTAAATATTTCTTAGTTATACTTGGACACAATATCTTTATTTTGTTTATTTATTTTTATGTGGTGCTGAGGATCGAACCGAGTGCCACAAGCACTCTGCCACTGAGCCACAACCCCAGCCCAAGGAGCAAATTGTTAAAGTAACCACCATAGTTACTGAGTCTGGATTCCATGACATACTCTGTATCTACACAGACACACACACACACACACACACACACTCACACACACAAGCATACTCACACACACAGTATCTGTAAAATCATGTTAAAGGTGGGTGATGTTACCTCCATTTTATAGATGAATAAGATTAAAGGTGCTTAAAGTGATTTAGCTAGGTCCACACTGATATCTGAATTCATATTGGCATGAATCCCTTAAACTGGCTCTCTCTATAATAGTATAGTGTGATGTTGTCTTTATCATAAAGTTTCATGAGTATATTTGCTTTATCTAAGCAGTGTAATTATGACCTTTGTCTCAGCACTACTAGCTATTGCTAAGAACAACTTTTTCTGTAAAAAGAATTTAAAAAAGGTCAATGGCAGTATGCTCCAAGTCATTACCATTCTTTGAGCCTTGTGTCCAAATAGATTCAGCATAAGAGTATAGCATTGCATTTGTTCATTTCCTTTAAACAACTCCTACCTTTTATTTCTTGAGCAGAGAAAAGTAAGGTTAGAAGCTGACTTTCTCATAATAATTCTTTCTAATAATAATTTGAAGTGGTTCTTGTTTGAGCTGCTTCAGGTGTCAGCAACTACCCTCTACTTTATTTACTTGACTTTTATGTGTTGGTATTGATCTCCTTTCTGCTAGGATATTATCACCCGTGCAGGTGATGTCTTATTTCTTAAAGTCACTCGGTTTTTATTTAATTACAGAATTCTAGAGCTTCATCCTTTGAAGGCCTAGTCTTACCATCATAAACATTGTAGTTTATTTTATTCCTTTGTTGTTTCTTCATTATTCATAACAAGTAAACACTGCCAGGATTCTCTTTTGTTTGTTTGGTTTTGTATTTTCCTGAGGTGAAATCTGAATTTTGTTTTAAATAATGTGTGTTGTGAGTCTTTCAAATCTTTCTAGTTTCCTAAAGAGGAAAATCATACCCAGATTTGCAAGGAAAATTTTATGACAGTGTCTGTAGAGTTAATTCTTTCATCACATCTTTTCACCAGACGTGTGTGCCCTTTACTTTGATGTTACAGGTTTCACTTTAAGGACTGTTAATTTTTTGTTGTTGTTAAGGTGGTTTTTTTTTTTTTTCAATATTTACTTTTTAGTCGTAGTTGGACACAATATTTACTTATTTTTATGTGGTGCTAAGGATCAAACCCAGGGCCTCACACATGCTAGGCCAGCACTCTACTGCTGAGCCACAATCGCAGTCCTGTTAAGATTTTTTAAAGACAGACACAATGTCTTTATTTATTTTATTTATTTTTATGTGTGCTGAGGATCAAACCCAGTGCCTCATATGTGTGAGGCAAGCATTGTACCACTGAGCTTTTATAAACCCAGCCCCAGGACTATTAATTTTGATACTAGGGATTGAATCCAGGGAGGCTTTACCATTGAACTACTCCTCTAGTCCTTTTTATTATTTATTTTGAGACATGATCTTATTGCATAGGATGTCCTTGAACTTTTGAATCTTTTGGCCTCAGCCTCCTGATTTGCTGGAATTACAGGCATGTGCCACTGTACCCAGTTTAAGAACTGTTTTTTGTTGTTAGTATTTTGTTCTGAATACTAATACTTAGCCCTGTCTTAAAACATTTTTTAATATAGAGGACTGCACTCTCTTATTCATGATTCTAATATCCCAGATGCTTGAAAAATGAAGCACCAAAATTCATTTGGCAACACCATTTCTTTTCTTTTTTCTTTCTTTTCTTCTTTTTTTTTAAGATAAAAAGAAAGAAAGAATTTTTTAATATTTATTTTTAGTTTTCGGTGGACATAACATCTTTATTTTATGTGGTGCTGAGGATTGAACCCAGTGCCGCACGCATGCCAGGCGAGCACGCTACCACTTGAGCCACATCCACAGCCCTTTTTAAAAAAAAAAAAAATTTTTTTTAGTTATACATGGACACAATATCTTTGTTTGTTTATTTATGTTTATGTGGAGCTGAGGATCGAACCCACGTCTCACATGTGAGAGGCGAGTGCTCTACTAGCTGAGCCACAACCCCAACCCTGGCAACACCATTTCTGACATGAGTGTACATAATCTTTGTTTATTCCAGTTAGTTTGTCATGTTTCATTGTGTTTAGTTATGGGCTGCTACACCCCCTCTTCTCCTTAGCAGTGTTATATAATTTATGATATATATTAGCTTTCCAAAATAAAAAAATATGTATGTCTGAAATATTTGGCCTAAGTGTTTTGGATCAGGGATTATGGGCCTGTATATACATATCAATAGCAGTGATCACAGTGTGATGTGGCAATTTGTTCCCTTGTCTATCTTCCTCATTAGGCTATGAGCTAGAAAACCTTTGCTTTTTGGATCCATCACCTTTATCACCCTACACAGAGTAGGTGCTTAATATTGAAATTGAATCCTCAACAAGTAGGTTATTGAACATGGATTTTATTTGTTTCTTGGTTTTCCTATGTTTCCATTTTTTTCCCAGCCATCTCTTTCCTGTTCTTCTGTTTTCTTGATTCTCACTGAAATCTTGGCTTTACCATTTTGTGTGTGATTTGTCTTTGTTATTGTTTTTTTGAGGTATCAGGGATTGAACTCAGGGGCACTCAACTACTGAGCCACATCTCCAACCCTATTTTGTATTTTATTTAAAGACAGGGCCTCACTGAGTTGCTAGTTGCCTCCTCATTGATGAGGATCCTCCTGCCTCAGCCTCCTGAGCTTCTGGGATTATATGTGTGCAACACTGCATCCAGTTATTCCCAGCCCTAACATTCTATACAGTGACATTTTTGCCATTTTTCTTAGGTATATAAACACATTGTCTTTAAGTATAATAGCACTACCTTTAAATACTACAGCCCTTATGCTTACTTTTAACAATTTTTTACTATTTTTATTTTCTGTTTTAAAACTGTTCTTATTTGAAGCTTTTATTTTAACATCATCTAATTTCTTGATTTTCAATTACTTTATTCAGTTTTTTGCTAGTCAATCTGATATTTTATACTATGCTCTTTAATACAAGTGATTCCATGTAGTTTATATTTTAAAATGCACCTTGTGTATAATTCTCTTTTCTTTTTCTTAATATTCAAGCAACTGACAGAAAAATGTTAGTGTCATTTTCCTGATGAAAGGACAGTAAAAAGGAAAGACAAACCAATAGTGCCTATCAGAAATTTTTCTTATAGTTTATTTTGTCAGGAACGGGAAAGTAAAGTCTGATTATGATTGGAAAGGAAAATAATATGTTGTTTGAGATGATTATTATGTACCTAAAATTCTAGAAAATGAGAATTAATATATATTTATTCAAGTTGCTTCATGCAAAATAATTCAGAAGCCTATTTGTGTTTAATGATCTTATTATAGGTTTAGATATAATAAATCATGGCAGTGTATTAGCTTCACAGATCAGATTTAATTTGATATAGCAATATGCAAGAGGATAAATATTGTTTATTTGAACCTGTGTGTGTGTTCCCTATTTTTTGTTACACATTTGTAAAGTTTGTGCAAAATAAGAGAGAATGTTTACAAAATGTATTTGTGATACTTCTGTATTTTTCTTGACTTAAATGTTAGATAGTGATTGGGATTGAGGAATTATTTTTTTCTTTACATATATGAGAATGATTTTTATATCCATTTTCTTCATGATAGCCTCTTTCTAGATTGATAAGCTTATAAAACATGTGTAAATCAAAAGAGTATTAACCAATTAAAAAATCAAATTGGTGTTACATAGAATATTTTCCAGAGATAGGAAGTCATCACTGTGTTCATCATCTTTTTGTTTTGCAGTGGGACTTCCCCTCTTGCCTGCCTGAATGCAATGCTCCACACAAACTCCCGAGGTGAAGAGGGTATCTTCTATAAAGTTCCAGGTAGAATGGGAGTATATACTTTAAAGGTAAATATTTGTGTTGGGGACTAATTTTTAATTAAACAGCAAGCAGCAGCATATAAATAATATTTGAGCCGTAGAGGCAGAATTCTGTTTTTGAAGAACTTATTTTCAATGGGAGGTAATATTTTCAAACTGTAACAAATATATATAATTGTTGTTGCTGGGGGTTCAACCCAGGGCCTTATTTATGCTAAGTACATACTGTATCAGCCCCCATCCCCAATACTTATTTATTTATGTATCTATTTATTTTTACTAATCTGTAACTGTCTATAGATAGATCAGACAAACAACTTTATTCTTTATAATTTTCTGGGATGGGGGCAGGTACTGGAAATTGAACTCAGGGACTCTTTACCACTGAGCTACATAGCCCCAGCCCTTTTTATGTTTTATTTTGAGACAGTCTAAGTTGCTTAGGGCCTAAGTTGTTATTGCCTCAGCCTCTTGAGTTACAGGGATTACTGTTGTGTGCCCCTGTGCCCAGTAATTCTTCAAAAGAATTTTTTCTTTATTGAAAAGATAATGACTTTTTTTTTTTAATGGGGTCTTATTACAATTCTCAGGCTAATTTCAAACTCCTCAAGAGATCCTCTCCTACCTCTGCTTCCTGAGGCTATTGTGTGCACTGATGCCCAGCTCCCAGTGATTCTTTAAAAGAACTGTACAACATTTCAGTGATAATTGGGTTTTACCATAGAGCATACTGCATAGATGCTTTACATTACTTTTATTTAACTGTACACTACAATCACACTTATTTCTTTTTTGTAATGGAGAAAACCAAAGTTCTGAAGACTGAATTTTCTTGACGGGTGTTAGCCAGTTAATTTCAGAATCAGAATATGAACCCAGAATTGACTTAACTCCCAAACCATGCTCTTTTTACCATAATAAGCTGGCTAATTTCTAATTTCAACAGTGAGAAAAGGAACCTTTGCTTACCAATATCCTTCTGCTTACAAATAGGAAAACCACTTGAAATGAGCTTCAATAAGAAGAGAATTTATTAGTTCATGTAACTGAAAATCCAGGGAAGCTAAGGCTAGATCCTCAGGACTTGGTCACGCCACTTCCTTTTGGCTTCGTTTTCAGTCAGACTTTTCACATCATTTATAACTTCACTCCTAGTCCCTATTCTGCAGTCTCTAATTTTGGAGGGAGAAGAGTCCAGGAACTACAGCCAAAACCTCCCACTTAGTTTGAACTTGTCTTAATTAGTTTGGCCTAGCCCATGTGACCATACCTAAATGGCTTTTACCAAATCCATAGGTTCTTCGTATTGGTTTAATGTGGGGTTGAGATTAAACCTGCAACAGGCAGGTGAATTGAGGAGAAGAATTATTTTCCACAGGAGGTTTACCAGCAGATGAAAAATTAATGGTTGGAAGTCAGTGACTGTGTTTGTATGTGTGGGACTCTGTCCCTCTCTACTTTTTTGCACTGAACTAAAGTCATCACAAGTTCCATGGTTGTATATAGCCCATTATTATTAAAAATATCTAACCTCCCTGTAATACCTTCTTTTTTGTGTACTGCGATTAACTTACTAGTATTATAGGACTTTATTCACTATATGGAACTTTCTGCTTTTCTTTGATTTCTTAGCTGTTTTAGATCTTCCCTAATTTATTTATTTATTTATTTATTTATTTATTTATTTATTTATTTATTTATTTATAAAAGAGAGAGTGAGAGAATTTTAATATTTATTTTTTATTTTTCAGTTCTCGGCGGACACAACATCTTTGTTGGTATGTGGTGCTGAGGATCGAACCCGGGTCGCACGCATACCAGGCGAGCGCACTACGGCTTGAGCCACATCCCCAGCCCCTTCCCTAATTTATTATACTCAGTATATTTCTGTCATCCAGTGTGTGGTGGTTTCTTTCCCCACACACAAAGCAGTTTTCTATCATACACCAACTGGGGTGCACCCCCTCATTTCGCTCAGTTCATAAACTGTCAGACTGACCACCCACCTCCCCGCCCATTCCTCCAACTTCAAATCCTAGTTATGTGTTCTAAGTTGTGGCCTGTACTTCTGATATAACACTTGTTATTGGGGTTCTTATGAGTCTTTCCTTGGATTCATTTAATTTGCTAAGATGGCATAAGTTTGGAAACATTTTAATTTACTCATTTATTTAAAAAGATAATAAGAAGGATACAGATGAATAGTCAGATGGAAAAGTTGCATAGACTGAGGTGTGGGAGAAGGGACATAGAACTTCCATAAATTCTCCAGAAGTTCATATGAACTTTAGGCCTTTTGGGTTTTTATGGAGGTTTATTTCATTGGCCATTGGTAATCATCTCAATCTCCAGCCCTTCTCTCTTCCTGGGAGATTTTGTCTGAAAGTTCCAGCTTTCTCATTACATAGTTGGTTGGCTCCCTTGACAGAGACTGTCTGGGGTCTCATCAAGAATTATCTTATGAGGCCAGGCAAGGTGGCTCATGTAATCCCAGTAGCTCCGGAGGCTAAGGCAGGAGGATCATGAGTTCAAAGCCAGCCTCAGCAATTTAGGAAGACCCTTAGCAACTCAGACCTTGTCTCTAAATAAAATACTTTAAAAAGGACTAGGGATGTAGCTCAGTAGTAAAGCACTCTTGCTTTGAACCCCTGGTACCCCCAAAACAAAAACAAACCAAAAACCAGAATCATCTCATTAGAACAAAAGATGCTACCATTACCCGGGAGAGTCCAAGAAACTTGGGAGCTGTGTCAGACATTCCTATCACTAAAGAAATTACAGAAGTCTTACGAGCTCTGTTAGGAACTGGGGTCCAAGACCAAATTTCAGAATAAAAGATTCTTGTACTGCCAGTATTTCTCAGGAAATTGCAAGAGTTTGGGAGCTCTATGTCAGGAACCATGGTCACAGACCAAATAATGTATTTATTTTATCAAAATATGGCTTCTGGTGCTGGGGTTGTAGCTCAGTGGTAGAGCACTCACTTAGCATGTGCGAGGCCCTGGATTCAATCCTCAGTGGCACATAAAAAATAAATAAAATAAAGGTATTGTGTCCACTACAACTGAAAAATCAATATTCTAAAAAAATGTGGCTTCTATGCTAAAAAAAATGGAAGATAAAAAAAGATAAACTGTAGTCTTGATCTCTGAAGCTCACATTGTAGTTATTGAAATAAATGTATGTTCAAAAAAAATGTAATGTGCTGTAAAGTATTGTGAAAATTAAGTGAAAAAAGTGTTCAAATAAAGAGATCCAGAAAGTTGTTGTTATTAACTTGTAAGATTTTAATTGGACTTTGGACAGATAAATAATGGTAGTGAGGGCTTTGTGGACATGAGAATAGCCCAAGCAAAGGTACAGATAAGATTCAGAATGGACTTGAAAGTAGTGAAACTTCGAGTAGTTAGACCATAATCTGTGTATGAGCTTCTGTGGTAAGGAGTCTTCAATGTATAGTAAAAATAGGTGGAGATCAAACTTTTGAGGCCTTTGAACCTGACTGAGTAGTTTGGCATATGTGTGTATGTGTGTGTTTGTGTGCTGAGTAGATGGCATAAGTTTTATAGGAGAATGGCTTGATCAAATCTGTGTTTAAGAAGATAATTCAAGTAGGATAGTTTTCAGAGCAAAGCAGGAAAAAAAAACTGGTTATAGTTGTCTCGAGAAACTAAGAAAAAAGCTACTTATAGTTGTCTGGAGAAACTCAGACCCTAAAGAAAGACAATGGTAAAAGAGATGAAAGCAAGGGACATTAGAGAAATAGAATGTTTTGTATTTGGAGTGGGCTAAAGCGGGTGTGTGGAAAAGATGCTAAGATTTGGGACATGAGCAGTTGATCCCAGAGGGATCACAAGTTTTTTACAAAAAGAAGATAATTATATTTGTATTTCAGATACTTGTTGAACCTTCAGGTCAAGATGTCTGGCTGGCAACTAACTCTATAAAAGCTGTCCTGCATTTTGAAGGAAAGAATAGAAAATTATGGGGTCTGTATTTTAAGAAAGTGTATAACATAAAAGATGGCTTAGAGAGAAATGGCTCAGGGCATAAATTTAAGTGGAAAATAACTGTTTCTTCCTAGATTAGAGTTTATACGGTCTTGGATATAATGTCATGGATGCCAATTATGTCTTAGAGGGGTCATGTCTTGTGTCTGTCAGAATTATTTGATTACAAAACCAAATTATGTGGGAAGATGAAATATTAGTGGGTGAAAATCCATAATCTTATATCTTAGAAATAACTTTCAGTAGTTTGTTGATTTATACATATATATATATATATTTAGTACATAAATACCTAGTAACTAATATTTATTGAGCTCTATGTCAGGCACTATTCTAAGCATTTTTATATTTATTAGCTCATTTAATTTCCAAGTGATCTTTTAAGGTAGGTATTTTTATACCCTATAGAGATTAAGTTACAAGAGGTTGAGACTTTGACCAAGGCTTAACAGTTAAGAGAAAATAAAGATAGAATATCTTTGTTTTCCTTGTCCTTGATCTTTTTGTTGTTGTTGTCATTCTGATTAGTTATACATGACATGAATGTACTTTGACACATCGTCCATAAATGGAATATAACTTCTTATTCTTCTGGTTATACATGATATAGAATCATACCGGTCATGTACTCATGTATGCACATAGGATAATAATGTCCAATTCATTCTACTATCTTTCCTATCCCCATCTTGTCCTTGATCTTATAACCACATTATTCTCTCTCACATACTCAGCTGACACTTATCTTTTCTGATTAGCATTCTCTTTATTAAATGCTGAAACAAAAAAGACTTGATATGATTTTTTCCCTTTATTTATTTATTTTTACGTGGTGCTGAGGACCAAACCCAATGCCTCACAGGTACAAGGCAAGTGCTCTATCGCTGAGCCACAACCCTAGCTCTGATAAAATTATTTTTAAAAATTATTTTTTTCTGTTTGACCCTTGGCACTTATTAGCCTATATTCAAGAACCAATATGATTAAAGTAATATACTATCTCTTGCTATCCAGAAGCTAATTCTGTAATAGAATTCAGAATACATGGTGGTGAACACAAAAACACACAATTGTACATATATTTAACAAAATAGTTATTAAATAGTTTTTTTATTCTGAATATTTTATCATTTACCTGGACTTAGATCTACCTAATTTCTGTCTAAATTTAGCCTGTGTATTGTGCCTGCTCATGACCATTTTGTATAATTTTTATCTTTGGATGTAAATAAGAAACATTAACTTATTTGAGCCAAAAAGGGAGATGGCAAGAAATCAGATAACTTTGCTTAATCTGCTGTTTTGTTTTATAATACTAAAAATTAGGGCAACTAAGTTGCAACATTGCATATCAGAAATTTAATGCCTGTTTGTGAAAATGGTAATAATTAATCCTAATTGGATGCCTACATTTTCAGAAAGATGTGCCAGATGGGGTGAAAGAGCTATCAGAAGGTTCAGAAGAAAGCAGTGATGGTCAGTCAGATTCCCAGAGTTCTGAGAACAGCAGCAGCAGCAGTGACGGTGGCAGCAACAAAGAGGGGAAAAAGAGCAGGTGGAAAAGGAAAGGTAAATCTACCTGATCCTTCAATAAAGTATTGCATGCTATAGGACAAACATTCTTGTTAGTAATTACTCTTTTCCCACACCCAGTCTCTTGTTCTTTCCTCTAGATCGGTACTCTCCATTAGTTTCCTGCAATGATGGAAATATTTCTATCTATACTGTCTAGTACAACACAGTGGCCACTCGCCTCATGGACTTGTTATTTCTAGTGTGAGGAATATTTTTTAAAAATACTTTCTTTTGGGGGCCAGGTTTAGGTTCGAAGAAGAACTCAATGGAGAGCCAGGCACAATGGCACACACCTGTCATCCCAGGGACTTGGGAGGCTGAGGTGGGAAGATAAGAAATTCAAGGCCAACTTCAGCAACTTATTGAGACCCTGTTTTAAAATAAAAGTGGGGATGTAGCTCAGTGGTAAAGTGCCCCTGGGTTAAATCACCAGTACTTAAAACAAAAACAAATAAAACACTCCCCACCCCCATGTATGCATTGTTTTGCCCACTTTCAAGATCTCCCACAAGACTGGTACATTTTTTTACAGATGATAAACCTACGCTGGCACATCATTATCATCCAGACTCCATGGTTTGCATTAGAATTCACTCTTAGTGGTATACATTCTAAGGGGCTTTAGAAAATAATGTATGAAAAGACATGTATTCACCATTAAAGTATATAGAATAGTTTAATTGTCCTAAAAACTCTTCTGTGCTCCATGTCTTCAACCCTCTCTCCCTGATAGCCCCTAATATTCACTACTCTTTCTACCTTTTACAAAGTTTTTACCCTTTCTAGAATGTCATATAGTTGAAACATTGTCAGATTGGCTTCTTTGATTTAGTATTATGCATTTTAGATTCCTCCCTGTCTTTTCATATAGCTCAATGGTTCATTTCTTTTTAGCATAGTTTATCCCTTTTCCAACTGAACATATCAGGTTGCAGTTACAAATAAAACTATATGCAGTTTTTGTGGGGGTATAAGTTTTCAATTCCTTTGGGTAATTATCAAGGAGTATGATTAATAGATCATATGGTAAAAGTATTGTTTATTTTTATAAACTGCCAAAGTGTCTATCAAAGTGATTGTACCCGTTTTGCATTCCCATCAGCAGTGAATAGGAGTTCCTATTGCTTTTCAGCCTCACCAGCATTTGGTGGTGTCAGTGATCTGGATTTTGGCCATTCTATTAGATGAATAGTGATATCTCATGTTTTAATTTGCATTTCTCTAGTTACATGTAATGTGGAACATCTTTTGTGTTTTTATTTGCCCTCTGTATATGGTCTTTGGTAAGATGTCTATTCAGGTCTTTGACCTATTTTTTATCAGGATTTTTGTTAGTGAACTTGAAGAGTTTATATATATATTTTTTTTTTAGTAGTAGACCCCTTTTTTGTTTGTTTGTTTTATTTTTTGGTTAAGGGATTGAATGCAGAGTTGCTTAACCAGGAGCCACATTCCTAGCCCTTTTTATTTTTTGAGATGAGGTCTCACTAAGTTGTTTGGGGCCTCACTAAGTTGCTGAGGCTAACTTTGAATTTGCGATCCTCCTGCCTCAGACTCACAGGCCACTTTTTAGGCATGAGCCACCATACCCAGCAGCAGTCTTTTGCATGTGTTTTCTCCAAAACTGTGTACTTTTTAGTTTCCTGCAGTTTGTTTTCATAGAGTATAAGTTTTTCATTTGAATGCAGGCTAGCTTATCCATCCTTTGTTTTATGGATGGTATCTTTGGTCTTGTATTTAAAATTCATCATCATCAAACTTGGGATCATATAGATTTTTTTTCTATTATCTTTTATAATTTTGAGTTTTGTTTTTAGGTCTGTGATCCATTTTGAGTTAATTTTTGTGAAGAGTGTGAGGTCTGTGTCTTATTCATTTTTTGGTATGTGGATATTCAATTAGAAACTGATTTTAATTTATTTAATTTTTTTTTTTTTTTTTTGGTACTGGGGATTGAACTCAGGGTCACTTGACCACTGAGCCACATCCACAACCCCAACTCTATTTTGTATCTTTTATTTAGATACAGGGTCTCACTGAGTTGTTTAGTGCCTGGCTTTTGCTGAGGCTGGCATTTTTTTTTTAATATTTATTTTATAGTTGGACACAATACCTTTATTTCACTTATTTTTTACATGGTGCTGAGGATCGAACCCAGGGTCCCTGCGTGCGAGACAAGCGCTCTACCACTGAGCACAACCCCAGCCCTGAGGCTGGCTTTTAAATTCTTTTTTTTTTTTTTAAAGAGTGAGAGAGAAAGAATTTTTAATATTTATTTTTTAGTTCTCGGCGGACACAACATCTTTGTTGGTATGTGGTGCTGAGGATCGAACCCGGGCCGGACCAGATACTTTACCACTTAGCTACATATCCACCCTTTTTATTTTTATTTTTTCTAGACAGGGTCTCACTAAGTTGCTTATGGCTTCCCTAACATGCTTAGGCTGACCTGGAACTTGTGATCCTCCTGCCTTAGCCTCCCAAATTGATGAAATCACAAGTATGTGCCACCATGGTCAGCTAGAAACTGAATTTTTAATTTAAGATAAAATTAAATAGCTAAATGTTGGATACCATCCATAAAACTATAAGTGTTATCTGGTTTTGCTCTCACGGTGGTTAACCATTCATAGCTTTTTTGTTTTTAAGACTTATAAAACATTCTGTAGTCTTCAGTTCTAAACTTTGAGCACCTACTGCTGTAACACTTCACTCTCTAGTAGGAAAAGAATGCTTTTTATTTTTACCAGCAAACACCAAATTTAGTCTGCTTGTCTTTGCTCTCCTCATGTTTGGTGTCTACTTGATAGCTCACCCAGAAAGCTTTCTTGAGGGAATAATGTCTGCTTTGCAGCAGCTTCACTGGAAGAGATACTCCAATTAAGGACACATTCTATTACCTGTTCCTTCCAGTTACTCTGTTAGAGGGTAAATCCTTTTTTTTTTTACCCCAATATTTAATTTAGCTGTATATAGCAAGGCAAATTTTAAGTCATCTCTTGAATCATTTACAAAGATACTGATATTCCTGAGTAAAATAGACATTCAAGATTTTCCTTGGCTTGAAGATCCTCTTAGATTTGAGTGATAGGTGAGCCATCTTTGAATCTAGTAGCTAAGATTATATTTCCCGAAATACTAGGCTCATTAATTTGAAGTGCTTTCAGGACTGTTAATGGGCCTATATCAAGAAACAGTTCTAAGCTAGACTCACTGGCATACGACTGTAATCCCAGTGGCTCAGGAGGCTGAGGTGCTAAGCAACCCAGTGAGACCCTGTCTATAAATAAAATACAAAATAGGAATGGGGATATGGCTCAGTAGTTGAGTGCCCCTGAGTTTAATCCCTGGTACCCCCACCCCCTGCCCAAAAAAAAAAAGTAATTCTGATAAATTACCATCACTGTTAATGTGTGTGTTTTTCCTGAAGAGAATTAAGATAATTGGTGTCTTCATATGTGCTCTCTGGATATTATATGTGCAATGCAGGCAAACTTTGTAATCAAAGTATTTTACTTTAAAGACCACAACCATTTGGAGAGCCATCCAGACCTCACTTGTTAAGGACAAATGGAATGAAAGCAAGACAAATAGAGGCCTCTGAGCATAATCCTTGATGTATAATTTTAAGTTATCCCTGCCAGTAGTGAAAGAGGTATGGTTTGGGACTTTCTAGTCCACGTTTTTGGAAGTATAAAGCCCAAACTGTAAAGGGTGTTTTCATTTCATCTCTTCTCCCCAGTTTTAACTTTTTAAGTTTGGAAATTGTAGATCGAAGATTAGGAGCCAAGTAAGTCACTGGGCAACGGAAACAGTTACTAAGAACCATATTTTTTGGATGGAATTGGGAATAGGAAAATCAGTATTAAAGGAGGTTTAGTAAACTGTGAACAAAATCATTGTATCTTTAAGAGTTTGAGGTAAATGTATTAAGATACAGAAAGATCTAAGAAATGGAACCCTATTATGGTAAGTGTCTTGGTAGGTAGATTTGAGTAGCATAACCTGTGCCCCACACTGCATAATAATAGACTTGAACAACAAGGCAAATATCAAGTTAATTATTTTTGAGCTGTTTTTGATTTATTTCCCCCCTAGAAATCATTGCATTATTATTATTTTTTAAATATTTTTTTTAGTTGTCAGTGTACCTTTATTTATATGTGGTGCTGAGAATTGAACCCAGTGCCTCATATATGCTAGGGAAGTGCTCTACCACTGAGCTACAACCCCAGTCCTAGTACTCATTATTTATTCTTGGATTACAGTAAGATGTTACATATTTATGAATGTTTTTGTACTCCAGTAAGAAATTAAAGTGACAGACCTTACAATCTGTAGCCAGCAGTGACAGTTGCAGCATGCAGCAAGGCAGTTCTAAATCAGTTGCAGTTATCAACAAAGGGAAAGCAAATTTATTGTGCCTATTCCTTTTTCTTACTTAAGGTTTATTCTTAATCTGACATCACTTTATTTCAAATGCATTATAAGACAGGAAGAACACTGAGATAGTATCAAAACCCACTTCCTTTTATGTACAAAAATAAAGAGTTCTGACAGCAAAACTGATACTTGTAGTTGAAAATCAATAGAAACTCTCTTGAATAATGTATACCTTTAAATAAGAACAGAGAATAGAACTTTGAAATTCAGTCCAGTATTAAAACTAACTTAAAGTACAGAAACTTAAAACGTAGTTGTGATTTTTAGTTTTTAGACAGGAAACAATGTTCAGAGAGGAACTTTATGGAATTTCAAGCCAAGGTAAGGTGGAGTAACTCCAGAGAAATAATTATTAAAATCATCTGTTTTCTTTCTTATTTATAATTTGTAGTAACATGAAGCTTCTGCCTTTTTCTTAGAATGAAATAAAAATACTGCAGTTTGAAGCCACTGCAGGGGTATTACTTTTATCTTTTGAAAGATAAAAGTTTTGTTAAATTTTGGTCTGCTTTTAAAGTATCTTAAGAAAACAATCAGTTATATGAAATATT